ACACCCCACTCTCTATCGTACACCCAGTTAGTAGCGCTGCATCAGAACAGCCTCCCCGAGGCCAGCGCCAACCACCCTGATGAAGAACAGGTCCTACGATGAAGTCTTCAGTGCCGCTGGACAACTCGGACGAAGGAACAGGCAGCTATGGCTGCCACCACCCACGAACCACCACTGTAGGGCCCCGATACAGCCCGACCATACGCAGATACCCCCAGGGGTAGATGCGCCGAGGATGCCCCATGCATGGCAAACTCAGTTGAGGCCGGCTATGGCTGCTGTTACGGTGTGTCTCAGGATGCCGCCTGTAGACCAGCACCGCCACCAACTTGCTTGGCTTCTCCAACTCTGCTTCGCGAGAAATGAACAGCCAAAAAACCCTGAACCGATGGGCCTATCCTATCTATAGACTCTCTAGACCTAGACCGGACTGCTTGACCGACCGGTTGCTGTTTCGGCCTCTCGGCCTCTACCGGACCCCGCTATAGGCTATAGGACCATCTAGCAGCATAGGCCACTTAGGGCCTGTTTGTCCTAGGGGTAACCCGGGCCTGCTACAGGCAGTTAGGGTAGTGTAGGAATTCGGGTTAGTACCGGGCCTGTATTTTTCCGGATTTGCAGATCTGTCCCTCACGAATTTCCTTACAGGTAGGTCTCTCGGTTAGCCCTCAGCCAAACAAAAATTACGAATCTAACCCTACAGGTTAGTGTACAGCCTCGTAGTCAATCTTGGCAGTAGAAATCAGCAAGTCATTGCAGGCTTACCCTCCCCGGGAGCGAGGACCTCCGAGCTAGGGGTGGATGCGAGGTGAACGGCGAGGAAGGTTGCCCTTCTGAGCCGCTTCATATCGCAAGACAACTGACTTTGCTGTCTTGAGTAGGTCTCTTCTGTAGAACCACTGGTTCTCAGAAGGAGGCTGGAAAGCAAACCTGATAAGATACTGTCGGTCGGGGCCTGTGCCCCACTCATCCTCAATCCGGTCGATATCGTATCCCCTACCAGGGATTAGTAGACCGAACTGAGGAGGCCGGTCTGGGAATGCATCAGCTGGAGTGAAAGGCAGCAGCTTGGATGCAAGCTCCAGGACTCTACCGTAAAGGAGTTGTATGCTCTTGTCTGTGCCCTGAAATATTGGAAGCACTTTCTCCTAGGCAGGCACTTCAAGATCTTTTCTGATCACTACACCTTGCAGTGGATGAAGTCCCAGGGAGAGTTGAATGATAAGTTGGCACGGTACATTCAGTTCATTGTTATGTTTGACATTGAACTGAAGCACAAGAAGGGCTGTTACAACAAGGTAGCAGATGCCCTCTCTCGTAGGCCTGACTTTTTTGCGCTGATCTCCTCTACTCACTCCTTTGGAGAGGAGACCCGTCAGACCATTGCTCGTCTACTGCCTCAGGACGAGACTTTCGAACCCATTGTCAGGAATCTGCAAGCAGATCCTAACTCTGAACCAGGCTATGCCCTGAGTTCAGACCTGCTGTACACTTCCAGTAGGGGTGAGGAGCGCTTGTGCATTCCCCAGGACCAGCGGCTCATGACACTGTTGATGTCAGAGTGTCATGATGCCCGTGGACACTTCGGGTTCCTGAAGTCTTATGCAGCCCTGTCGCAGCGCTTCTTCTGGAAGGAGATGCGGAGTAATATGCTGCATTATGTGGATACCTGTGAGCTCTGCCAAAGGAACAAGGTTCAGTGTAAACCTCCTTTGGGACTGCTCAAACCCTTACCCATACCTGATGGCCCTACCCAATCCGTGTCGATCGACTTCATAGATTTAGGCAAGACCACCCCTCGTGGCATGCGTCAGGTTATGGTCTGCGTGGACAGGTTCTCCAAATACGCAGAGTTCATCCCCTTGCCAGAGGTAGCCAGGGTACCGGCTGTGAGAGCAGCCTTTTCTGAGAGGTGGGTCACACACCATGGGCCGCCCACCTCTATAGTCAGTGATCGAGACCCCAAATCGATGAGTGGCAGTCCTACTGTAAGGACTATCTGCACTCACGATTGGACATGACTTCTGGTCATCATCCGGAAGCCAATGGTTTGGCTGAAGTGATGAACCAAGTCTTATTCCAGCTGCTGCGTCCTGTCATCTCTCCAGATCACTGGGATCTTCACTTGGCGAGGGCACAACTCATGTATAACATGTCTGTCCACTCCTCGACAGGGTTCAATCCATACCGGTTACACTGGGGACGTGAACCACGACAGCCTCTCGATGACATCATCGACAAGGCTAAGTCTGATCTGACACCATGCACAGCAGAGTTCGCCAGACGCTATCGTCTGGATGTGGAAAGAGCCCGCGCGAAATTGTTTAAGGCCCAAAAGGCCATGATTGAACAAGCCAATCGCCACAGGCGGCCTTCCTCGATCCGTACTGGTGATCATGTCTAGGTGGCCAGTTCTGAGCTGTCGAGAGAGGAGGATATCTCCCCCAAGCTGTTGCCACGCTACTTGGGTCCGTGGCAGGTCCTAGATACAGTGGGCGCTGATCCCTTCGGTCCGTAGTATGTTATCGACGTCCCGCTGCATCTACGTATGACTGGCGTCAGTGGTAAGGATAAATTGCAAAGTGGGGTCAGGTAACTTCAGGACAGGCGTACAAGTCAAGGCCTTCTTGAGTCGTGTGAAGACCAACTGACAGTGGAGGGACCAAAGAAAGGGAGTGTCCTTCTTTGTCAGGTTAGTCAGGGGTGCAACCACTGCAAAAAAGTTCCTGACAAACTTTCTGTAGTACGAGGCCATACCCATGAAGGACCGAACATCCCTCACTGTCTGAGGCTGAGGCCACTCCTGAATAGCAGCAATCTTGGCTGCTTCAGGAGCCAGGCCATCTCCAGAGACTACATGACCCAGATAGATGATAGAGGGAACTCCAAAAGCGGACTTCTCCCTGTTAATCTTATACTGGCTGTCACGCAAGGACTGAAGGACTAGAGCCAAGTGCTCCGCATGTTCCCTGGCAGTTTTGTTGAATACCAGGATGTCATCCAGGTAGACAACCATAAACTTGTCCAGGTAAGGCCTAAAGATGCGGTGCATCTCTGTCTGAAAGGTGTCTGGGGCATTGCAAAGTCCAAATGGCATGACCAGGAACTCATATGTCCCATACCTGGTCTTGAAGGCTGTCTGGTAGCTCAACTCTAGGGATCTGCCAGTCGATCCTAGGGTTGACTGCCCTCAACCATTGCATAGAGAACACCAAATCAAAGGGCGTCTCAGGGAAGATGTAAAAGTTCAGACTATGTCTGACTTTCCCTGCTGCATTGAAGGTCACAGGGATCCCCTTGACCTTCTCCCTAACGCTGAGCACTGTAGAGTCACCAATCCGCACCAGCAGCGGTTGCTGCAGCTGCTGAACATTCATGCCCAGATGTAGCTTTTTAACTGCACTGGGAGACATAAAGTTCCTGGTGGCCCCGCAGTCCAACAACCCAGTGATCCTGGTGGTGTTGATCAATGGCCAAAGCATGATGAGTTCAGACTTGCTTTTCTTCTGTTCTTTCAGATGAAAGAAGAAGGCAGCAATGGACTGAAGCTCATCCTGCCCCGGGTCCTGATTCGGGTCAGGATCCTCATAACAAAAGGATGCTGCCCGCGCAGTCCCCAAACACACATCATCACACCTAGTCTCAACTGAAACAGCTGCAGCTTCACCTACCTGAATAGATGAAGGTGCATCACTGGGGGGAACTGCAGTCCCCAGGGTCTGTTTTAGTTTTTTGACTGACCTGGGCTTGGCATGTAAGGGCAGTTCTTTAAGAAGTGTTGGCCCTCACATCTCAGGCAGACCCCTCTTTCCTTTCTTCTTCTCCAGACTCCCTCCTGGATCTTGAGGTCATGCCAGGGGAGTGTGGAGGGATTGAGAGGTTCTGCTGGCATATGGACGTCTCTAGGCAGATTAGGGCGCTGGGAAGAGGAAGGCCGACGTCCCTTATCCTTCCCCTTGGTAGTGGCTGAGGTTGTAGTGGAGGAGAACTTTCTCTGTGACTGCAAAGCTCCCAAAACAGCCTGAGTCACTACTGCTGCAACATCTGTCTCAGCAGCAGATCCGGTCCCACCTGAAGGTGCATCAGGCTGGGAATCGGAATCTGATCCTGAGGCAGACCCCGCGTGAGTAAAGGCTTCCTTTCCCCTTCTGCTACCTCTAGGGAAGGCACCTTTCCTCCTGTCAGAGGATGGGGCCTGGACATGGAGCTTGGCCTCCATTTCCAGGGCTGCACGGCCAAAGGACCTCCAGTCGTTGTGCCCTGCGCTATAGAGTGCAACAACAAACTTCTCAGGCGCTGCCCTGCAAAAGTTGGTCAGCAAATCGTCAGGTGCCATGACCAACCAAGGGGTGGAGGTGAGCTGCTCGAACTCAGCAAACAAGGCCTGTAGGGTACCGCTGCCGCTGCTGTCCTCGGCGAGCAATCCTGTCAGCAGCCTTGCGGGCCTGCTCCTTGTCTGCAACCTGCTCCTCCAGGGCCTGCAGAAGTCTGTCTACCCCCAACCCAAAGGCCCAGTCCTCCATGGACTGCTGTAGGCTGCTGGAAGTTGAAGTGGCCCACTTCAATGTAGGCCCTTCCAGCAGTCCCAGAACAGTCGCCACCTTGGTCTGTTCTGCGCAGACAAAGCCCCTCAAGTAAGCTCTGGTCCCAATAGCCCAGTCCCCAATATCAGTCTTGGAGTCATCGCCCCTGAACTTGTTGGGAGCAGGGATCTTGGGACCTCTGTCTGCTGCAGTCACAGCAGCATAGGTGGTCTTTGCTGAGGCCTTTTGGGAAGGGGTAGATGACCGGGAGGAATGTACAGAGCCAGCATGAGATGGTCCTGGCGAGGAAGGGGGTGAAGAATGAGGGAAAGGTTTGGGTTGCAGCAGAGGGGGCTGAGGAGTGATCAGCTTGGCGGCTGCCAGCTGAGCAGTCAAGCACTTAATGGACTTCAGGATCTTGGTGTGCTGAGCTGACAGCTCGTCAACCCGACGCTCCAGCCGCACRAAACGATCATCCCAGTTTGTGAACTGGGAGCTGGTGATCTTGTGCTCCAGCAAAATCATCTCTGCCATCTGTTTAGTGATCTGGGAGGAACGATCATCAGAGAGCGACCGCTCTAGCTGCTGCAACAGATACTCTCTTCTGGAGTGATATGTTGCAGCCTCTAGCTCAACAACCTCCTGCTGTTCCAACTCTGCGAATCTGGCCTGTTGTTGTCGCAGCTGTTCTTCCAGCTCCTTCAACCGCTGAGTAGCAGTCAGAGGTGGAGAAGGGGGAGTGGAGGCTGAAGGTTGTTCACCTTCTGCCTTCACCACCACCTCAACCTGTGGCTGCTGCTCATTCCCCTGATCCGACATTTTCCCAGTTCAAACTAAAACCCAAAAATAAAATAACAGCAGATAGAGTTGCAGCGATACTCAGATTCCTGCAGACATACTGGAATCGCTGCAGCACCTCAACACTGGAATAGGTGGGTGTACAAGCAATCAACGATTTGGGTTAGAAGGGTGTCTTTCGGGTCAGGTGTCAGACAGACTGTAAGTCCAGCAAAATCAGTCACACGATTTCCTTTTATTGACCCTGGACCAGACTGGAGTTAGCAAATACACTCCATTACTTTTCCAGAGACCCACTAGAATTCCAGTGCCCACTAGAAAGCAAGTGTCATCAGTGAGAATGATCGGAAATGGTTGGTACAGACACAGAGAGATCAAATACACCAAGCGATGCAGACAATTACCCGGTAACCGGACTCAAACTGAGTTTTAGACCCTGATGACTCTGGCGGCCATACCCTAGGGTATGGCGAATTACAGTATTCACTGTATCCAGTGGAATACTGCAAATCCAACTCTGTGATTCTTCATGATTACCTATTTTTGAACTGTGATTCACTGGGAACTGACAAAACTGAATTCTGTCGGACAGAATTGAAGTTATGACTCACCCTAGGTAGCACAGGCTAAAAATAGACTCAGCGCAAAACAACAATTCCTAGTATCACTACCTTTCCAGTACAGAATTCACTGTTTGAGCATCCCAGGACAATCGCAATATAGTATAGCAAACCAATTTGGACCAGAAAGAGTCAACAGAGGATGAGAAATGAGCAGAGAGAGGTAGGGGAAAGATGACTATGGCTGTCATGTAGTCTACGATTTTCATATCTAGTCATTGACAGACAGATAGGCCATTATCTTTCACTAAACTACTCCTATCTGGATCGCAATATAGGTAGGTGTATGGAACGGACTCACTTTCAGAGAATCTTGCAGGTGATGATGAAGATCTGGCTATGGCTGATGATACCCTTATCTCGCCAATTTCCTCCAGAGCTTCTTCCTGACACTTCCACGCACAGAACTGCTTCAAATTCGTTGATCCTCCTCAGGATCCTGTGGCGCTGCATTCCCTTGCTCCAGATACCCTGTGTCTGGTCCTGTGGCCCCCAATTCGCCAACACCAAAATATCTCGCCACAGTGCCTGGTTGCCGCTGATGCTAAAAATAGCCCAAGATGGGGTCATTCCTCCTGGAGATTGATACAGTATGTCAATCTCCCTCATCGTAACCCAAGGATGATGCCGCTCAGGGTTCCCTGATGTCCTCAGGGGTAGATCGCCACTCTGGGGTAATTCGTTGTATCACCCTCAGGGTTGGCTATGGCGAATTAGCCTTGTACTCGCCACCTCCTGACAAGCGCCCTGACAGGCTCAGCGCGCTTGCTCAGTGCACTCACTGAACACTTGAATTCACCGCTGAAAGTCTTCTTCCCTGCTGACTCAGTACCGGGGAAGATGAATCGCCATGAAACCCTCGCTAGTATGTCGCTAGATGAAGAAGATGCCTCAGTGCGCTCAACCCTCAGTGTTCCAGATCCAACCTCGCTCCAATACCAACTGTAATGAACTTGGTTGCCTGACGAATTTTATCGCCACTCACACACAGACAGTCTAACACATGCCCATACGTGCATAAGAGAAGGGGAGAGAGGAGACAAAGTCCAAACTGCACACAGGTGAAGATAAGCAGCGGAAGACAATCATAGATGGGGAGCGAAAACACAGTGTTTCTCACTCTCTGACACAACTCCCAACAACCAATCACAAGAAAGAACCTGCGAAGATCACAATTGGAACTGACATTGTTGATGAGCCACTCACACAATTATCGTAACAGAGTTTGTTCCAGTATCTCGCCACACTCAGAACTCACACCCCACTCTCTATCGTACACCCAGTTAGTAGCGCTGCATCAGAACAGCCTCNACACCCCACTCTCTATCGTACACCCAGTTAGTAGCGCTGCATCAGAACAGCCTCCCCGAGGCCAGCGCCAACCACCCTGATGAAGAACAGGTCCTGCGATGAATTCTTCAGTGCCGCTGGACAACTCGGACGAAGGAACAGGCAGCTATGGCTGCCACCACCCACGAGCCACCACTGTAGAGCCCCGATACAGCCCGACCATACGCAGATACCCCCAGGGGTAGATGCTTTGAGGATGCCCCAGCTATGACAGACTCAGTTGAGGCCGGCTATGGCTGCTGTTACGGTGTGTCTCGGGATGCCGCCTATAGACCAGCACCGCCACCAACTTGCTTGGCTTCTCCAACGCTGCTTCGCTAGAAATGAACTGCCAAAAAACCCTGAACCGATGGGCCTATCCTATCTATAGACTCTCTTGACCTAGACCGGATTGACTGACCGACCGATATCGTTGCTGTTTCGGCCTCTCGGCCTCTACCGGACCCGGCTATAGGCTACAGGACCGTCTAGCAGCATAGGCCACTTAGGGCCTGTCTGTCCTAGGGGTAGCCCGAGCCTGCTACAAGCAGTTAGGGTAGCTGTAGGAATTCGGGTTGGTACCGGGCCTGTATTTTCCCGGATTTGCAGATCTGTCCCTCACGAATTTCCTTACAGGCAGGTCTCTCGGTTAGCCCTCAGCCAAACAAAAATTACAAATCTAACCGTAGAGGTTAGTGTACAGCCTCGCAGTCAATCTTGGCAGTAGAAATCAGCAAGTTATTGCACTAGGCTATCTCACAAGATATGAGCAAGAGATCATCCATGGAAGAACCGGAGGATCTCCCACTAGCATGTGAGTGAAAGACAAGAGCTTGAGTAGCCCAAATCACAAGTATCCAACAAGAGATCATCCATAGAAGAATTGGAGCACTACCTAGTAGTGTGTGAATGAAAAACAAGAGTTTGAGTAACCCAAATCACAAGCATCCAACAAAAGATCATCCATAGAAGAATCGGAGCACTACCTACTAGTGTGTGAATGAAAAACAAGAGTTTGAGTAGCCCAAATCACAAGTAACCAACATGAGATCATCCATAGAAGAATCGGAGCACNGCACTACCTACTAGTGTGTGAATGAAAAACAAGAGTTTGAGTAGCCCAAATCACAAGTAACCAACATGAGATCATCCATAGAAGAATCGGAGCACTACCTACTAGTGTGTGAATGAAAAATAAAAGTTGCACTAGGCTATCTCACAAGATATGAGCAAGAGATCATCCATGGAAGAACCGGAGGATCTCCCACTAGCATGTAAGTGAAAGACAAGAGCTTGAGTAGCCCAAATCACAAGTATCCAACAAGAGATCATCCATAGAAGAATCGGAGCACTAGCTACTAGTGTGTGAATGAAAAACAAGAGTTTGAGTAACCCAAATCACAAGTATCCAACAAGAGATCATCCATAGAAGAATTGGAACACTACCTACTAGTGTGTGAATGAAAAACAAGAGTTTGAGTAGCCCAAATCACAAGTAACCAACATGAGATCATTCATAGAAGAATCAGAGTACTACCTACTAGTCTGTGAATGAAAACAAGAGTTGCAGTAGGCTATCTCACAAGATATGAGCAAGAGATCATCCATGGAAGAACCGGAGGATCTCCCACTAGCATGTGAGTGAAAGACAAGAGCTTGAGTAACCTAAATCACAAGTATCCAACAAGAGATCAGATGAGGGTGCGTTGTGTCCGGGGGAATACTGTAGTGCATCTGCCACATACCCTTAAGCTCGCAGAGTGTTGAAAATGGGCCGACAAGGGGCCAATACCTGGACAGCAGTAAGGTTGTTTCCCCCCCCTCCCAATGAAAGAGAAATCGAACCTGGAATAACAGGTTGTTTCCTCCCCTTCCCAATGAAAGAGAAAGTGAACCTGGAATAACAAAGGAAAGTGATTGGCTTTGGAGAAAACTGTCTCGTTAAATGGCAGCTGAACCAGGTTGAAGTCTGATCCAGTCCAGCATTGGACCAGAGTTAAATCACCAGTACGTGGCCCCAGCTTTGCAGAAATTTGTTCATTGCCTACTCTGGAAATTTTGCGACTCGGGCCTCCAGGACCACAATGGCTTACGTCGCCAGCCAAAAACGAGAAAAAATGCGCCGCTGGTCGTTTGGAAAAGCTTGGCACGCAGTGGAGCACCTCCAGGCCCGGGTGTACTGGTGGTTCAAGTCTGGTTCGCTTGAGACGCGCTGTATCAAACTTAAGTCTGTTCCAGTTGAGGCGTGTTGAACCAAACTTGCACCTGGTCCAATTGAGATTTGCTGGACCAAACCGAAGTATGGTCCAGTTGAGATGTGGTGGACCAAACTTAAGTCTGGTCCAGTTGAGATGCGCTGGACCAAACTAAAGCCTGGTCCAGTTGAGACGCACTGGACCAAACTTAAGCCTGGTCCAGTTGAGACGTGCCAGATCCACTTCAGGGTTGGACCAAAACTTAAACCACCCGTGCCGGTACTTTGCCTCTGAAGCTTGCAGCCGTGCAGATGAAGGCTGCGCATTTGACGTACCGGCCCTCCTGCAGGTGGCTCAATTTGTCCGGTACTTGAAAATTTTGGGTTTGACAAATCAGGTTCTGCGGCACTGGTGCTCTTAAACTCTGGTCCCCGGTTGAGAATTGCTGGACAGATTGGGCAGAACTTGAGGCTCTGTTGCATATCTTGTGATTGATAAGTTTGTTGTAAATGAACCTGATTGGAATATGGGCTCTTGCACTGCCTTTTTTTTTTTTTTAACCGCCCCGGGCTCTTGCACTGCTCTTGGTATGCAGGAAGGTGGATTTCCGAAGGAGAACTGGATCAAACCTAGCATCGGGTCTGTTCCAGGATCGGACCAAGGTTGACTTCTGTCCAGTCGAGACAGTGCCAAATCGATCAGACAGGGCTAAAGTCTTCACTGTTAAGGGGTCAAGAAGCGTTGTCGATTTGTCCTTGCAGGACTTGGAAGTGTTTCTGCATTGAACTTAAGTCTGACTCACTTCAGGATTGGATGAAGCTGAAGTCTTGGTTTAGTTGAGGGAGTGCTGGATTGGACAGGAGCTGCTGAGGTCTCTTCTGCACGCGGAGTGGGATCGAGAAGCATCGTCAAAACTTGCCCTGCAGGTCGTTCAACTTGACTGTTCTTGCATCGCAGTTAAGTCTCATCCACTCCCAGTATTGAGCAAAGCTGAAAAATGGTCCGGCTGAGGGAGTGCGAGATCGGAAGGATGTTGAGCTGTTCTTTGTGCTGACCTTAAGTCTGACCCATTCCGACACTGCACACAAGCGTAAAGACTAACTGTCGGCCAAGCCACCCTACAGTAGGCCGTGCTTGTACGCAAGGAGTTGAAGAGAGTTTTGGGACTGTCTGCTAAGTCTGCAGGCCCAACCTTAGGACGGTTTGGAAGTCCAGGTTAGGCAAAACTGAGGGTTGGCAAAATAGGTTTGGGGACATATTAGGTAGGTGGTTTAAAGGGTCTAGTCCGTCTGAGACTGCTGGATTGGATAAGACGGGAGTGTCTGCTGCGTCAATTTGTCTGAAGGGAAGTTAGTTGATTGATTGGCTATCATTTCTTGTGCCCCTCTGGAAGGACGGCCAGGAGGTGGCACCTGACAAGCTGAAAGGGTGTGTGTCTGCACCACACGTCCAGGCAAAGAAGTCTGTCTGCCTGCCTTTAGAGAAGCGAGGGTCTGTTTGTATATTAAGGAAGTGGAATCGAAGCTGCTCACCTGTTTATCAGCTGTTGTAGGTGTGTACCATTTGGTCACCTGGTGGGGTCAGGTCCTGTCAACTGGTGGAAGTATTCAGTCACACGGCAGTGTGAGGCTATATTTCGCTGACGAGCCTTGCGATGTGGTGGATCAGGACTGCAGAAACTCTGGATATTCTAGCTTAGATAAGATGGCACGGTTAGCAGGCCTACCGAAAGGGCCGCTTGCTGATAGAAAAGGAGACGCGATTGTACGAGAAGAAGACCGGAACGACAATGAGGATGATGGAGGAGATGGAGGAGGAGGAGGGGGAGAAGGGCTGGTCTCATTGAATGATGACCTGATTGCTTACATTTTCTCTTTTCTTACAGCTAAGGATCTGTCTGCAGCTGCCCGAGTGAACCGGCGGCTTCGAGCGTTGTGCAACGATGACAGGAAGGTATGGAGAGCGCTTTGCGAGAGGAGGTGGGGGCAGTCCACGTGTCTTGGCAAGTGGGGAGGCGGCCTGGTCACATTCCGTGCCATCTATTCCGCACTCCATAAGTTGGAAGGCCTGGTCGGAATGTGGCGAAGTGTGGGCAATTGCCAGTTCAGTTCAATTGTGGACTTCGAGTGGAGGACTGATGGTATAGAGGGGGTAAGGGTTGTCCCTTATCCAGGTCCCGATTCATACCAGATAGTTAGGGTTCCTTTTATCAAGGCCACTCTGACAACGGAGGGGGAGGTGATGATTCAGGTGAACCTGCAGTGGAGTGCAAGCCTAGGGAGAGGCACTGCTGCATCCTCTCCTGAGTCACCTAGTCGCGTGCGACATCCGATTCAGGAGCTGCAAGGGAGCAGTGCTCTCGTGGAAATGAGAGCTGGTGCGGGCGGCGATGCCTCTTCCCCTCCACGTTCGAATAGATTGTCTGTGGGAGAGGATGGGCCTTCCTCACCCTCAGAGGAGATCCTAGAGAATAGCCCTCTTGGATGGGGCGTGGATGATGTCGCGGATGCCAATGGCGTAGGGTGGTCTTCTGCTGTCGCACAGCTGGCAACCTTAGACTTTGTGAGCGATTGCCACTTTATCCTAGAGGAGAAGCTGACTCCCAGCCCCGTGCCAACTCAGAAGCCGTGCAGCGTCTTTGCAGAAGCTGCCGTCTTAGCTTCTGTTTGCGTGCGTGGCAGCCCTGATGCTCATTACGACAGTCAAAGCAGCAGTCCCCCAGGGAGCTTTGGATATGCCATGTGTCAGTATATGTCCAACAAAGTTACAAGCCCTGGAGGGGGCAAGTGTGGGAGAAGGCAACGGCGACAGAGACGGCGTTTGTCCGGGTTACCAGGCTTTGCAGAACACTTTGTCAAAGTTACAAACACCCATCCTACGACTGAGAAACCTCTTCAGGGTCTCTGGAGGAGTGCATCCGGTCCCACTGGGGGACAAAACTTACTGTTGCTCTCCTACGACGACGAGGAACGCCAGATAGTCTGTCGAAAGCTTGCTGGTCTCGATGGCGTGAGCAAGAATGGGACCGTTCAGTGGCGTGCCAAGATCTGCTCCTGTATGGCCAGCCCTTTGTCACCCAAAGAACAGCTCCTTCATGATCGTCGGCTGGTCGTTCCTGCTCCAAGTGTTTCGATTTCCTCGTTCTATTATTCGTGGTCTTCTGCATTACCACCTTCGGAACGGACGGTGCCAAACAGCCATCCTGAACAAGTCGTACCATCATGCTGCGAAAACATGCCTGCTAAGGACATCAATGGCGGTACAAGGAGACAGCTGTCAGCTTCCAGCAGCAACAGCATTCGGGAACTGGTTGTGGAGGAGTCTGTGGTGGTTGCCGTGTTCCACACCGTCCAGGACGACAATCTTGGCACGAGCCGGGAGGTTGAAGGCCGGCTATGGCAGTATGCTGGTGGGCATTTGGCGTATTCGTTGATGGAGGATGAGTACATGGTCGAATATCGGCGTGTCATTCCTGCGTCATTCATGTCACTTCGTGGCAGCAGGCGGATTGGTTCTGCTGTTCTGCGCAGCCGCTGCTGATGCGTGAAGAATTTTATCAGGGCCACTGCTTGATGGGATAGTCGCTTCTTTCTGGGATTACGTGGAAGTCACGATTGTTCTCTTCTCTCACATCCAAAGATGGTGGGGATGGCACCAGAAACAACGCTAATGGAGGATGAGTACATGGTTGAAATACTGGCGGTGTCATTCCTGCGTCACTCATGTCACTTTGTGGCAGCAGGCGGATTTGTTGTTCTGCTCTGCACAGCCGCTGCCGATGGGTGAAGAATGTTATCGGAGCCAGTGCTTTATGGGACCAAGTGGAAGTCACGATTGTTCTCTTCCAGCAAAGGGTTGCGAATATGGCAGACACATTCCCTTGCAGAAGAAGATTGCGAATTGGGCAGACATTCTCTCGCCGCAGAAGATTGGGAATTGCGCAGACATTCCGCGCATTTCGAGTCGCTGTCATGCCGTTTGGACTGACCAATGCCCTGACCACTTTCCAATTGCAAATGGCTACGGAGTTTACCCTGTCGGAGTGGTTCCTGTCGGAGCGGTTCATGCACGTTGACCTCATCGAGATCCTGGGTCATAGCCGGACCTTGGACTTCATTCCTAAAAATCAATGGTTGTTTCCCATCCCCTGGTCATGGGCATGTTGACAGCTCTTGTCTCATACCGAAAGAACAACTTTTTTTTCTTTTTTTTAGGGAAAAAGCAAGGAATTCCAGAAAGAACAACTTGATCGCAGTAAAGCACTGATTTAATTTCTTCCTCCTCTTGTGATCTCTATTAACTGTCCCATGCTGGGGATGGTGTCATAATCAACGCACGCTCGTATCTATATTTCCTCTAGCCTATCCCCTTCCCTACAGCTCCAGCTCTCCAGTGACGAGGATGCATTGATGCTGGACCGTCTGTCCCAGCGTCGTGCCAATCGGTTGAATGGGCTGTACATATATGTAGGTCGATTCATTGTACCTCAACAGTCCGAAACTGCAACCGCAGTTGGACCGGTGCTCAATGTCAGCAGCGTTCCTTGATGTTAGATGCCTGGGCAGTAGATGCGTATGAATGTTGATAATATAACTTTTGAACGATTGGCACCGTTCAACAGTGCGAAACTGCGACATCCCCATGAAAGTTTATGATAGCTTGAGCGATTGGCACCGTTCAACAGTGCGAAACCGCAACCACAGTTGCACCGGTGCTCAATCTCAGCAGTGTTCCTTGATGTTAGATGCCTGGGCAGTACGGGCCCATGAATGCTGATGATAGGTTGAGCGATTGTCACCGTGCCACTGAACCGCCAGTACATTTCGCCATGGGTGGCGAGAAGCCCGCATCTTTTGCGAGTTTGGATCGTCAGGATGGGGGAAGGGCACCCTTCCCCCATCGCCCTTCCTCTCCTCCCCCCCCCCCCCCCCCCCCCCCCGCCCTCCGATTCGCAGTGGCACTAGAAAAGGGGGAGACTCGAATTGATGTGTGAATGTTGGAGTACCCCAAAATGTGGGTGTAAAGTTCACATCTGTCGACAGCTGTCAGACTTTGAACTCAGTTACGTTGCGTTTGTTTCTCTCTCCAGTGTGCTGGAACGTACTGCCAGGTGCCTTCTCTCTGCGGGGGCTGCACGTTCTGTCTGTTGCATCCTTGTGTGCCTTTTTCTGGCAGTGGATAACAGCAGGAACATAAATGGAATGGCAGCGTCTACTCGCAAAGTCATCGTTTAAGGATGTTCTCTCTGCTGTATGCTGGAACATATAGCTGGGGTACCATCTCTGTGCTGGGGTTGCAGGTTCTGTCTGCTGGGTCCCTGTGTACCTTTTTTTTGGCAGTGGATAACGGCAGCAGAGCAGAGGCAGAGCAGAGGCAAGAAGCATAAATGGCAGCGTTGGCGTGCAGGCATCGTTTAAGGATGATGTTAAACGAATCGCCCTTTCTCATCAGCCAGCCGCATAAATAACGACGACTTGCTTTGCAATCGAGATTGGTCTCCACACTTCTGTTGGGCTTGGTGGTAAGATCCTCACCACCTGACATCACTAATTCATAGGGACAAGTAGTTTGGGTTCATTCAGTCCAGCTGACTGTAGGTGGAAAAACTTAGCAGTGCGTTCCCTGTGTTGAATGCCAAAATGATTGTTTGGGTTGTTGGTTTGGTCTCAAACCCGAGGAAATAAAGGAGAAGATGATCATCAGAGCAGATCATAATCCCACATCTCTGGATAGTCACTTTAACTAGTTGCTGCCCCCTCTTAGGTTTGGTGGTGGTGGGATTGAAACACCACACACACACATACTTCACCCTTTTATGGATCAAATAAATACATGTATATATGTATATGTGCAAGTGCCACGCTGATCAAATAAATACATGTATATATGTACATGTGCAAGTGCCACGCTGCACCTTAGCCTCTGGTTCTTAAGATCATTCCGCTGAATGTCTGTCCACACACACTTTATGCATGCATGTACAGGCATGTGTGTGTGTGTGTGTGTGTGTGTGTGTGTGTGTGTGTGTGTGTGTGTGTTTCAATTCCACCACCGCCGAAACCTAAGAGGAGGCAGCAACCAGTTCAAGTGGCTATACAGAGGTGTCGAATTATAGCGTGTATGAGTATTGGTAAAGCACCCCAAATTCTCTCTCTCATTTCCACCACAAATCATAACAAACCATCCATAACAGGAAAATACAGATAGACAGTATAATAGAAAATGCAAGGTTGGCCACGTTTGCGTGGTTCAGCACAGAGTGCCAACACACCTGTCTGTCGCTGAAGCGGCACACACGTATGTTTCATTTTGTAATGAAATCTTTATAAAATGCGGCGTTTGAGCGCACTTTTCAAAACAAACGGTAAAGATATAAAAGCAAAACAAAGATGAGGGGGACACTAAGACTACTCATTTTTCTCTTCTTCTTTTAACTCCCCTATCACTGTGCCTCTCACGTACAAGGCTCGCGAAGTTGATGAAGTTGAGCGTGAGCTTCCCGCATCCCCGTGTGCCATAACGGCCAACTTGTACGCTGTGAGAAAGAGAGATGGAGGGGGAGGTGATAAATGCAAGGAAGAGAGATGAAGGGAACAGAAACAAAGAAGGAAAAAGGGAAAGTAAGGATAAAAAAAGGCTCAAGAACGAGTCTGTCCTTGACGACAGAGAGGGCACACCCTGTAAGGATGAGGTGGATGGGCACATGGAAGACCTAGCTGAGCATTTGCAGCACAACAATTGCCGATGGCTGGCATTGAGCATGCCCAACATACACTCCCGACAAATGGCATATTGATTGCGGGCCAAAATGAAGGAAAAACGCTCACCACAAAAGATCATGCATTCAGTATAGCGCCCATGGCCGCAAAATGGACACATGGTGTCCGGATGTAGAGGGTGCCTGCAGTCAGGAATGGAGGGACAGTCCTCTACACATATAGATGCAGAAACCATGTCATCGTAGTGATTATGACAGGGACCATGGCGACTGCAGCCGAGTGTAACACTGTCTGTAGCAGTGCAAAGGAGAAGGTCGCAAAATGTTGGTACATTGGCGCGCTGCAGCATGGGGCCAGAGGAATGATCTTCGACATATAAGAGATTGCGGACAGTTTGGTGTGGCAAGAAAACAGCATCATTATGTAAGAAATCAGATACAGCAGTCATGGCATGGACCATGATGCCTTTGTCCCACGACTCCCAGTGGTCAGAGGTACGTACAATGGCCACATAATGGCCAGGTCCGTGCACAATGCAGGCAGAGATGTGGGATGGAGGGTGAAACCACTCAGCTGCTGAGCATTGCGTAGCTCAAGTAGGTGGTCCCTCATTGCTACTTGTAGGACAGCAATGGTAAAGCCTCTTTCCCTGGTATAGTTAATATCCTCTGGTTGTAGGCGGGGGAGGTTAGTGTCAAGCTGAAGGGCAATTGCAAGGAAGTCTGATGGTGTTTAAACCGGGCGGTAAAGAATGTGGAGACATATATTAGTTGCAGTCAGACCACAGAGATTGGTGAGGATCTCAGGCTGGTGTGCTGGATGCTGGCCGACAATTTGCAGGTCACCTAGTTGGTGTTGCAATCCCAAAATGTCTTGGGTTGCTTGCTGGTCAGTCATTTGCAGATCATCACTCATGTGGCCTGCATGTGGTGCGGCACAAATTTGTGGTTCATCCAAACGATGCTGGTCAACCTTATGCCTTGTGAAGTTAAACCACTAGTACCTCACCCAGCTATTGATGCCGAGCCTAAACATGCCCTGCGCGCCACAATTTGCCGAGGCTGGAGGCAGCAGGTACCAGCACATGGAAAAAATAGGGCGGTACCAGTACCGTCCTCTGTGATACTGCAGAAAAGAGACGAGACGCTGTTCCTTCTCACAAAACAGAAGTACTGGGAAAAAAAAGAAAAAAGACTGGCTGACAATGAATTGCTCCGCGCCTCTGACGGGGAGTCACATGAGAAACAGGAAAGTCGAGATTCGTCTTCCTACCAAACTCACACACACACACACAAACACACACACACAAAAAAAAAAAA